CAAGCCAAAATTAATTTTTTCTTCGAGTCCAAGAACCGAGATCTAGGCAATACAAATTATGAATAGATCTCAAAAGTGTGTTAAGATTCGTTTATCATCATTTCAAGTAAATAAATGCATTCTTATTTTGGGGATATTTTTTTCTATACTTCGTTTGCCAGTCAGAAAGTTTGTGAAGTATGACCAAAATTTTCCGATTGCCAGCCGGCCAAGACGAATCTATAGTCATTTTCTGGTGGGATCAAACTTCAAATCTTTGCATGACACACTTTCAGTCGAAATTTAAATAATTGTAAGCCGGGTTAATCATCAGATTTCAACTTTTATTAGTAATCTTGCATGGGAAAACCTTATCTGCGTAGCTCAAACTCAGAGAGTTGACATAACAAATAAGTTTGAAGAGTTCATTTACGCCGATCGTTTGAACATTTTTGTTACTTTCTTTCACTTATGATTCCTTTTATCTTTAAAGAAGCATTAGCAGCAGAAGTGAACATTTTTTCTTATTATGAAGTGATTTACAAAATTAGGGATATTAGCAAGTTAGTAAAAGCATAAAATTTTAAAGCTCGATATTTTATATTCTTTTTCGAATGTGGCATGGTTCTGATTTTCTACATTCTAACATCATATTCATCAATCTTTAATTAAACAAACTAAAAACCAGTCATCTCTGAGCCCTCACTTGCTATCTTGACTAGAAAGAGAGACATTTTCATTCAATAGCATGGGCTATGAAGAAGCTTGTCAACATGACTACCTTATGTAGAAACAGGGAGTAGAAGACAACCAAGCAAGACGTATAGAAAATGTTAGATATGAACTATTCCGCATGAAAAATAACTGCCAAAAAAGATATTCACAAAATTTTTATCAAAGTATGCTGACATTTATAAATGGTTACCTGAGTTTTTCGATATCTGCTTCATACCGGCAAACAACGATTCCGACTTGGCTTTAGAGCTGTGACGATGGCAACAACTTTGTGTGGGCTCAACTTCCAGATCGGCATAACTTTGCTTCTTCCCAAATTCCAAAGAATCTAATTTATTTTCTGAGTCTTCCTCTTGTTTCTTCCTCCTGTCCCTCATATAATGCTGCCCAGCCTCACCATTACCATTCTCGTCATTATCGCCATGTTCGTTAGTATCGGCATCAGCAGCACCACCCTCAGTGACCTCGTCTCCTTCTCTATTTCTCCATTCTGCCTTCGAGCTATCCGGTTGTGATGCATTCATCCGAGAGTCATCTCTCTCGCAAAAGTTACCTGTGCGAATATTCGACTTTTTATACACACCATCTACATGAGAACTGCGGCGACTCCAGCCTGTCCGGTTGGAAAACTCCTGCCCCCGAGATTGCATATCCTCAGCTCGGCAGCGATCTGTCTGCACAGGAGCTCCACGAGGACCGCCCTGTCGTATGTACGCTCGCCTCATCCAGGATGGCATTCCAGCTGCCAGATGAAAGACGCCTCCAGTTGCTGCGTCCGCCCAGGACTGCTGGCTCGAGGGCAGATTCCATTCCCGGCCTAGCGAATGGGTTGCCGTGACAAAATGGTGCTGCTGATGGGTCATCCTATCTGGAGGCCCGAGGCCTGGCATCAGCGTTGCCGAGCTACTGACCGCCGAGGCGGGAAGAGCAACTGTGGCGGGAGGAGCCGAGGCAACGGTATTCGGTAGTAGGAGTGGCGTGAGAGTAGCGCCGTCTGTTGTTACTAGCACCACCGGCCCAGTCGGCTGAGCAGCTATGCTGAATAGCAAAGGGAAGCAACAAGTGCAAGAAGAGGGCTCGAGAAGACTGACTGTTTGGAGTGGAGATGTTTGCGAGAGATGGGTCACAAAGGGAGAGGATAGAGGAGTTGGAGGAGGGAGGGTAGGCGAGGTTTGAGCGAGTGAGAGTGATGGAGGAAGAGGTGGAATTTGCGGGAGAGGATGATGAGGAGAAGACGACTGGGAGGAGGGTGAAGAAGGATGAGGGGAGGTGGTATTGGCGCATTCTGATGTAGAAACGAACTGAGGAGTTGGTGCAGTGGAGGCGGATGATAAGGAGTTGAGGGTGGCGTTAGAGAGATTCGACAGCCAAGAGGAGCCATTTGTTGGTGACTGATACGAGAAAAAGATGAACTGTGAGTTCGAAGGGGCTTGTGTGACAGTACAGGTGGTTTCGGGAGATCTTCCTGATCTACTAATCACATCTAATGTGGCTGATTTTGGCTGATGCAGCGAAGAGTGAAGAAGAGAAGGAGAATGTAGTGGTGGTGGAGGAGGAGGAAGAGAAGGAGGAATAGGAGGAGGAGAGTTGCTGTGAGATGCTGGAGGCTCTGAACTTGCTGGAACGGCGAGCGGCTTGTCGGTAGATGCAAGGTTATTCAAACCCTCTGGAGGGGTTAGCGAAAGCAGAGGAGAGGCAGGCAGGAGAAGATTGAAAGCGGGATTTGAAGTCAAGGCTCTCTGAGAGATAGGACACAGGAGAGCATTGGGCTGGTTGGCAGGATACGCGGAGACTACAGAATAGCTCGTAGACTTTAAAAAAATAACAAGCAGATACTGAGTAAATCGGAGATACGAAGCAAAGTAAGGGAAACGAGAAAGGTGCATGCCTGGCTAAACTAAGCTAAAGTGCACTTGCTAGGAAACAAAGAATTATTCATATATGAAGAGAAGCTTGATTTCGAAGCATCCCTTAGTAGATTGAGAATGACACACCTTTCATTTCGTTTTAGAAGGCGGGTGGAAGTTTTGTAGATTAGCCTCACTGGATACCGCAAGGTTGCCTTAGACTTTTGACTGTTAATTTGTGCGAAGAAGACCTTGTTTCACCGTTCTACGACCGCGATGCCTATGTGCTGAGCTTTCGTCCGTCATGTTACGAATATCGTCAGAGCCAGAAAGCATTATTCACAAACAATAACCAAATCATCAACTCCCCATCACCTTGTTCTTGATTATTGTTCGTGAATAATAGTTTCTGGCTCTGATGGTGTTCATCACATGACGGACGAAATCTCATCACGGAGTATTCGGGTCGTAGGACGGTGAGCTAAGGTCTTCTTCACACAACTTAACAGATACAAGTACAATACAACCTTCCTTCGGTATCCGGTGGGGTCAATCTACGAATCCCTTCTGGCCGCCTTCTCAAACGAAACGAAAGGTATGCCAATATCAAGATACTTATTCATTTGTTTTCATAGGTAGAGTTTAGTTAAACACATAAACTACGACTCAAATTAAGGCATGAAATTAAGTTGTAAATATTGCTCATTGAAAAAGTTGCCTTTTATAGGCGAAGAAAAAGTTGGTCTCAATGAGTCTCTTGACATAACATTCTTATGGAAACTTGCATTTTTTATGAAAGTTCATGATGATGAAATTCGTGAGTCAATCTCGCCAGAAGACGTCAGCGGATTCCCGCTGTTGTGCAACCATTTCGCCGCACGTTTCACTTTGACGAAGTCCACGAGACACCCTCGTTTAGAATGAAAAATGGCTGAGCTTTCGTTCGTCATAAGATAAACATACTTAGAGCTGGAACCCATTATTACAAATGTCTCTAGCTAGTACTGATTCAAGAGACTGATCAGCTCTATCCTACATGTTATATACACTCATAACTAAAAACGAAACTATAGACATATAGATAAATATGGAATGATTTGATTAGATGTCTAGCATATTAATCATGGTACTTAAAATTGATATGAAGAGTGACTAGATTTTGATGAATCTTCCTAGATAACATTATAGCCTGGACTTTCATTTCGTATGAAAGTGTATGAAGAAGATATATTCGAAGGTCGATTTCACCAGAAAAGGACGGTTTAATCGCGTCGCATAAAAGCCAAACAGCTAAAGTACAACGGGATTCAACCGTCTTCTTCTGGTGAGACCGATCTTCGAATCTCCTCTTCATACACTTTCATACGAAATGAAAGTCCAAGCAATACTTACAATTTAGTC